TGTAAACGTGCCACAACCGCCATTCTACTTGGGGAGGAAAGTAAGCGTGTAGTTTGTGAGTGACATGGTTAATTGTGTTGTGAAATACGCGGTTATTTTCTTCTATCTTTTTCTGATAACGCTTTGGCTACCTTTTTGCGTAGCTTTGGAATTTTTTCGTTTATTTCAAGAGGTTTGTTGAATATCTAAAATACTATACTAACGAAGTATGAAGTTGCAAATTTCAAGTGAGAAATTAAAGCAATTTTAGAGTAAACGAAAAAAATGAATCTAATGTATTAATTATTGAAGTTGTTCTTCTTTTTGGCTTCCTCTTAAATTTCAGTTGTACAATTGAGGTGTTGGCGATGGTAAATGATATAAGTGCTAGAAGAGGAAATTTTTAGTATGAGCAAAAAATGTGTTTGTTCATTTTGGCTGTGAACGCTGTGAATTTTGAGCGTTTGTCAGCTTTGTAGATTTATAGAGAAAATAAATGTCCGCGAGGACTACTGACACTTTTATCTGATTGAACCGCAGTGAAAAAGATGGCATTTGCGATTTTAGCTCTATCTTGCTGAGTTTGCCATCGTATTAAGCATGAAATTTACGCAAATTTTACGAATTATTTTAATATTACAAATAAAACTTTGAATTATTTCAATATTATAAATTTTGCCTCAAATATCTCTTCGAAGAACTGTGAAACAGTACTTTATGTACTGTACTAGAGATATTAATTATTTGAAAAAATTCAGTAAACTATTTAATCTACACAAGTAACAGGAACAGCACTAAATAGTATAGTATAGTCGGTAAAAGAAATATAGCGAGGTTAGGCATTAAAATTTACACGAATTAACAGAAACCTGAGATGTCTTGGTTTTGATTGAAATCTGTTGGATTATTTCTAAGGACAATAAATAAAATATATCGCCTGAGAACAAAAACGTCTCAATGTGTTTTCTAAACAAAGACACTAGAAGGACCACCAGATGTGTTTGGAGTTCGTCTTAAATAAAGTCAGAACACTCTCACTGCAAAACAATAACATAAACAGTTCGTATGTATAAACGGATCCCAGCTTTCTCCTTTACAGAAAAGACGTTTCTTTTTTTTTTTTTTTATTGGGTGATTAAGGTCACATGCACCTTCTGAGGTTATTAGTGACCACAGTGAGTTTATTCAGTGGTGCAGTCTATAGTAGGTGGTATAAACCAATATCTTTCAAGAAGTTTATAGCTCTTTTACTTGAATCTTCTTTTTGAAGCATGGTCAGTGAATTTGGCAAGTTATGTTGGATCCTTTTCATATTGTACTTTGGGCAGGTTATCAGGATGTGATTGATGGAGTTTTGCATCCCGCAGATATCACAGTTGTTTGGTTCCTTTTTGGTGATGAGATGGGAGTGTGGCCAGTTTGTGTGACCTATTCTTATTCTTGTTAGCTTTACTTGATCTTTCCTGTTCAGTAGCCAAGCCGGGTTGGCATAGTTTATACTGTTTCTGATTGTGTGTAGTTTAGTCGGTCTTGAATTTTTCCACTCTTCATTCCATGATTCTATTGTCGCTTTGATGAGGTAATTTTGAAGGTCTTGATATAATATAGGGACATCGTTTGATTCGGACGTACTGGTACTAACTAGCTTTGCTGCTGAGTCGGCTTTTTCACTGTCTTCGATGTTGGCATGTGAGGGGATCCAGGAGTGCAAAATTTCTTTTTCGCCGCAATTGAGTATTGCATTTAATTCGATAATGTTCCGTATTATTGTGTTTCTGGTTTCTAAATTTCGTAAGGCTGTCACAACACTTTTGAAGTCTGAAAAAATGATCAATTTATTATGTGCCTTTTTTTCGATATATTTTAATGCTTGTAGAATCGCAAATGCTTCACTGCTGAAAACTGTGAATGGTTCTGGAAGTCTGAATTGCAAATCTCTTTCAGGGGTGCATACCGCACAAAAGACGTTCTTTATTTACGTCTCCTTTACAGAAAAGACGTTCTTTCCGAGCTGTGTCAACGAAAATAAATTCATTATACAAAAGTAAACTTTTATTTCAATCACCCATTTCCAATAAAATCTGAGTGTCACTTAATGCTTCGGTGTACCATCTCGCTATATTTCTTCCACCGACTGTACCTAAACCTTTTCTCCGAAAATCATCGCTGACAAACGAACAAATCCCACAATTTCACCACTGTTCAATTCGATCACTCGAAAAGCGACGCTCTATCTAACCTATTTTCACTATTTTCAGGTAGCGCTAGACGATACACCGTTTAGACGGAGGTTAAGTACCATGACCGGTGTCTAGTGGATGAAGGACGGACGGAAAGGGAGCATCGAATGTGTCGCAGCAACTCGAAGGAGGAGCACAGGGTGCACGTGAGATGAGTGCCGTGGCCCGAGGCACTTGTTGCACGTCGGGGGCTGTCTTTTAAAGAGTCTGCCACACTGCGTGTTTCCGTGAACGCGATAGGATTAGTCAACGGTGAAAATAAAACGAAGGGAATAAAGGGGGAAAGAAGAGTAGAAGAAGAAATGAAAAAGAAGGAATAGCCGCGCGCGCGTTCTGAATCTCGCGTTTCTTTGACGCAGCTATGTCGGCCGTGTATCTTTCTGACGCGTTTCTTTGACGCAGCTATGTCGGCCGTGTATCTTTCTGACGCGTTTCGCGGGAAGAGTGTTCGCGTTTCGTAATCGGAGTTAGCTACGAGATCTATTGACCGCGATGCAAATCTGCGAGTGGTGATCGTGTAATACTGTCGCCGGTTTCTGTGTGTGTGTGCACGTATCGCGCGGTTCTGTTTAGAGTTAGTGAAGTCCGTTTGGAGTATCGTCGCGCGCGGGATTCAGGAAGTCGACACCGGTGCGAACGAAAAACATGAGCGTAAGAATCGCGTGCTCAGGTCGGTGACACCGGTCGCGTTTGTGTGTGCCTGGCTATCGTCGCTGGTAACTCCAAATTGGCGGACTATCACCGGGACGACGGATATCCCCGTCAGGTGAGTAATAGATATTTTTGCCTCTATTGTGTCTCTTTTTGAAGATTTAAGAATGTAGAGTCTTCATGTGAAAATCACTGATTTTTATGAAACTTGCGTATAGAAGAGTTTTCCTTTTCTGCCTTTTTTTTGCAGATTTAACAATGTTGAGTCTCCAAGTAAAGATCACTGATTTTGACGAAACTTACGTACAGTGCACTTTTCGAAAAAATATTTCACACCTTTTTTTATTTGCTGACTCCCAAAGTTTAGAGTGGAATTCATTAGTGCTTCAAGAGTTCATTAGTTCTTTACGCTGAAAAGATCTAATGTTCTTGAGACGATACTGTTGTACTCTACGATCAATCTAAGATATATTTTAAAATATTAACGTGGTTAGGTTAGGTAATACGACTTTTTAGTACAGATCGTCATACTTTAATGTTAACTTTGAATCCTTTCAGTGACATACTTAAATTATGAATAATTAGAAAATTATTATGAATTGATATTCTATTCTTATTTCTTTCAATTATTTATGCTACTGATTAAACCTACATGCTCTACGAAATATATTTTAATTACCGTTTCGTACAAATAAGCTAACATTTTCTTGCAATTTCGTTCCCTGTTGAACCTGTGATTAATTTCAGGAATAAATTTTAGTTAATACCCAATATGGCTATGCCGTGAGATATATAGTAGAGCGTAAATACAGAGTGTCGTTGATAAAAATGAAATTACACGCGAACTCAGTAAAATTTTGGATATAGAAATATAAATTACGATGATTGATATTAAAATGAATTTCAACGTTGAAATGTGTAATTGGCGCGTATACATCAGTGATCGCGTTATGAAATTAGTAGCGAGTAAAGCAATTTAACGACAATTACAAACTCATAACGTACGCGCAATATGAAAGGTACCATAGTAATCGATTTCATTTCAAATATAAAATTACACCTTTGTTCAAATAGGAAGCTGTTAAATGAAACATATTAATCACTCACATAAATGCAGTAACATAAGTACTTCAGTATTCAAGAAACTTCAATATTTCAGCTGTTTTTCTTATTTTACAGACCTAATGATAGATAGATAAATAACAAATTCTTAAAAAATATAATTCAATCACGAAAGTGTTAAGGTGCACGATCTTCTTTAGTACAAAGACAAAATTATTTATATCACGATTAGTTTACATAGTCACAAGATTCACACGATTATAGAAATATATACCAACTTTATTCAAAAAAATATCCATCATAAATTCAAATTCAAGAGTATCATCGCTGGATGATGTCTCTTCTCACGTCAAATCTCCACAAAACACACTTACTTATTACCCGAAATACTAGACGATTTGCTCTGTGCTGAGTCCTGTTCTTCACAGTCCTCTTACCAGAACTCTTACTCTCCTTTACGAACAATGTCCTTATTTTTTAAAGCAATGCAACGTCGGTCTGCTTGCCATCCCTAAACTTTCTCCTGCCTACTTCTAAATTTCCCAACAGCCACATGACTTCGAGTCACTAGGAATCGTTGGTCATCTACATACGTAGCTTGTCTCCTACCCCAAACATTCTCTCTGGCCACACTCAGCCCAAGTCCCCACCATAAATCGTCCGAAAGCAAACTAACCTCCTGCTAATTGCCTTCGACGACCCTTAAAAATACGCCAACAAACAGATCGTAAATACACACAGTTGAATAAAAAAGAAAAAAAAATGAAACACAGAACGCAACACAATATTCCCCAACAACCTAACTCTCTCTCTTAACCCCACCTCTTGACCTACCATTTCACAAAACACCCTTCAATCATTCTTCACACCCCCCCCAAGTCTAACACGATCAATCGACCAGAGATACTCCTCTTCAATCACACTTTCTATCGCAACATCGGCACCGTCGTCTCTCATCTAATGCGCGTTAATTAAAAACCATAGGTGGATATCCCCGAGCTTGTAGACGGGTGGGTTCGGCGAAGGCAGGAAGGAGAAGAGACCGGAAGGCTGGATCACCTCCGTGGAATGTCTTCAGGCGCCAAGCGGCTGGTCCAGTCGCTTCGTGGCCGCAGCGGGGGTGGCAGGGGCAGCGGAGGTGGTCGCGGGGATGCTGGAGGCGGGGAAGGCAGCGGCGGCGGAGGCGGCGGAGCAAGCACCAGCGCGACCAGATTGTGCCATTACGATAGCGGTCACGAGCTCGACGAGATCTCGGTGGTCGGCCCCGCCATCAGGGGCAACGAGGGCCTTCCCACCCCCACGACACCTTGCCACTGCGGCGGCCTCAAGTATGGCAGCGGGCAGACGCTCTACAGTATCGCTGGTTTGGTGCCTCCTGCACCAGCTGCACCTGCTCACGCGGCCCAGTCAGGTGAGTGACGTGTTTTCGAAATGTTGCCTCACTTGCTTCGAATTTCTTTCCTTTCCTTCTTGGGGACAGAAGGAAGTGGAGATAGCTTTGTCTGTTTAACCCTTTGACGACGATGGATTATACATTGTATTGAGATACTGATTGTTGTGCGAACGTGTAACTAGGTCACTATTTCAATTTCTTTTTTAACACTGTTTTTAACTCTCATAGTTGGGATTCGTTGCCACTACTGGGCCGGTTTTGGCTATTGCGCGGAAATAGCGTGATACGGATCGTAACAGAGATGTTACTCTGCATTTAGTAACAAGTGAATGTAAAATAGGAATTTTACCAAAAACTAACTAAAGAAAAACGAGGGACTGATTGTTAGATCCATCGATTTTAGAGGTCGATAACCTTTGTTAATAAGTGTTAAGTTGTTAATTGATGGCTAAGGAGGACTTATCAATCGGCAAGTAGCTACAAGAGGTGCTGGAAACAGTACCCAAGTCAGCAAATTAACTCATAGAAATGCATTCTGATTGCTAATAAAATTAAACAAGAAAAATTCTATTTGTCTTAAATGTAAGTATATGAGTTTATGACAAAGCCAACTATCTTTACTGCTTGAAAGTATGCGAGTTATTGGTTAATGTTATGTGAACGCATATATGAGTCTATCGTTCTCAAAGGGTTAACACGTTTACTGTTTATCTCCTGCGAAAGGATGAAATGTTTGACTTTTTCAGATGGTTTATGTAGGGTGGTAAATAAAAGAGGAGTCAGTACTAGCTAAAAATTAATATTTTTAAAGTTATGGAAAAGATAAAACGTTTCTCTACGGTGGTAAAATAAAAATTCAGAAATTTGAGGGTAAATAGTACTGGATAAATGAAAGAAGAAGTTTTAACGAACATAGGTCCAAGAATTAATATTTTCAAATTTATAAACAAGGCTTCTTCACGTTGTTTATACAGCATTGTAAAGAAAAAAAGGTTTCAGAAGGGTAAATAAATAAGGCTAAGAAATATATAGCTCGAAATATTGATATTTTTAAAGATACACATTCACATTGTTTACATAGAATGGTAAAAGCAGGTTTTAAAGTTTAACGGTAAATAGTGCTCGCTAAATCGAGGAACGAAGTCCTTATAAACACGAGCCACTAATATTTAAAAGCAAACAATTTTTTGTTTTCGTTGAAGCGACTGGATTGTTTAAATGCCGAAGCTATTGTGCTATATAAACACAATGGGTTATCTTGCCATTCGATAAGCATCGAATAGGTTGCTTCGGGAAAGGTGGAATTGAGTTTTAAATAATTTATATACAAAATAGTTAGATTTTAATTATCAGAAATGAGATTATTTATTAAGAGAACGGAATAAAACGGATTTCTCGTTTCTTGCAATCCTGGAATAATGTTTCTCTTTATGGCTTCAAGAATAATCACACGTGTTTTATTTTATAAATTAAAATTTGAAATCCTGTACATTTCGTTGAATTAAATTTCATTTACCCTATTTTATTATAATACAGAATTTATAAATGAACATAAATTTGTCAATGGCCTTATTCCCACGTATATATTTGATTAAAAACATTAATTTGCATACAGTGATTTAGATAGAATTTCTTTTTCAAAGCTCATTTTCAAGGAAAAAGTAGTACTTGGAGTTTGCGCGGCTTATCTCGTACAATGATTTTGGATAAAAGCCAATACGATGGAATTACATCCCCAAAGCTTTGTTCCCCTGATGTTATCTTGAACACTGTTCGAGATACAGCAAAACTTTCCCGACAAAGTTTTACGCTTTTCTGACATAAATTGATGGGATACAATAACGAAGAAACGTATAGCAAAGAATTTTAAGCAATATTTGTATCTATATTTATTTTCACAGATAAATTCATTCATGCATATTAACGAACGTCGTGGAAATAATTAAATAATATACTATTTTAAAGCACAAATTAAAGTTGACTTTATTTGGTACCATTTAATTTCTAGCAAAATATTAGCAAACATTAAAATTCCCCTTAATTATCAACATTGGCACAAAAGATTTCTTACTAAATTCACCTTCTTTTTTTAAATTTCCAACAGTAATATCGTGCTTCAACAAAATTAAACGTTCAGCTCAGTTAAATTGAACAAGCTTTAATATCACCATTGTACTCTATTTCAATTGTACAAAAACAAAGAATGGAAGAAATACATATGTGAATGCGAAATTCGTGTATGCTTTTCATCGTTGAAATAACGACAAAATATTTTGTAAAAAGAGCGTAATAATTCACATTTAAAAATTAGCAACGTTCGACCTTCTAACTCTCGAGTCGATACTCGTCTAAATTTAAAGTGTTCGTCGTTTTTCACATACCTTTCAAGCTTACTTTTCGAAAATATTCGATCACGCTGAAAGGCGATGTTCCTATTTCGAACTCACCAGTCCATAAGTTTTCAGAATTTTGTCCGCCGTTGCATTTGTACAGAGATATTTCTTGCTCAACGATTCCTCTGAAAAAGAAAAAAGAAGAAAAATATACGCCATTGTACGGCGAGCATGCATAGCGCTCATGATTCCTCTCTATACGACATTACGTGTAAGAGCGTAAAGGGTGTACGGGTTTATTACAATAGGCGGATGCGTGGATTTTTATTCTTTCAGATGAAAAATTCATGGAACAGTAATCCCCGTGTACGATGCATTCTGAATCCTTTTAATCTTCGACGAACACTCTTTTGCAATTTTTGGCAGTAACTTTGTATGTATATATAGTGGGTAAATCTGTGAATTTTTATTTTTCATTTTTGTAAAATGGTGTATCTGTGAAATTTATTTTTGATTGGTAAAACGTAGTATCGTTGGAATTTGTGAAAAAGTAAATTAAATAAATGATCAATTAAAGAGGAATGATCGAGTAGAGAATTTACTGTAGATAGCTCTTTATACAAAGATAAAAAGGTTGGTTGTTTTCATCGATGACAATTATTCAATTTGCATGTACAATGAGTACTAAATTAAGCGTGATTGACGAGCAATATATCGTGAAAATCGTCGATGTAAAACAGAACCACCGGCAATGTTCGATCACAGCCCTCTGCTTTTGACATTTTCTTGATTCACAGAAATTTGTCGAAATTTTGAGTAGGTCGATATGTAATAAATTCTAGATTCGATAGAATTAATCTCTATTCTTACTTATTTTCATTCAGAATGTGCCATTTAGTGCCATTTTCAATGTTTTTGCTAATTAATCTCCGACGATAGTTGTTATAGTGCCTTTGTGTTACAAAGTCTCAAACAAAATCCAGCAATTCAACAGAAAAGGTACCATTTTTCACTTGTAAAAAAAATTTGTAAATAAAATTAGATATCAACACCAATAGTAACATATGTCACTTAAAAACTAGGTAATCTAACTTTTTTTCAAATATTCTTATCAATAAGTATCTTTCAGAATTATTGACAAAAGTGAAGAAATTATCGATTCCATTGTTCAAATTTTCAATTTAATTATCGCTAGACGTTAGGAATCAGCGACACGAAAAATACAGGAAAATATCTCGCAGTTCTATCCGCAGAGTAAAATGATTCCTGAAGTAATAAGAAATTCTCCGAAATCTATATTTCGAAAGTTTCACCAGCCACAGTTAAGAACTTTCGATACATCTTTCGCGAGGATCGGAGCACGAGAGTTTTTTATTTTCACGCGATCGTTACAAAGGAAGAGACTAAAGTATGCAAGTGAAAAGCGGATGTGCTTGGTTAGGACGTGTCTCCGTTAGCCATTCTAAGAGAACGTCTCTGTAACACTTGCGCAGTTCGTTTTCGTAGTGAGAGTTTTTAGTGTGACACTTTGAAGGGTGAGCGAGAAAATTCACGTAGGCAAGTGTTCTGCTGTAAGACATTTTGCACGAAGACAGTTTCTGTAGGATTGCTGTCTAGAGTCGAATAAAGGAACCAGTTTCTGAAAATGGGTATATTTCTGTGAGATAAGTACGCCGAGTTTCAGGAAGATCATTGCTGTATGGAAAAGTAACGGCAATTTCTTAACGAGCATCGGTTTCGTGGAATATTACACCTTTCGCGAAACATTGAAGATAACTGTAATAGAAATATCGATGCGAACATTCGTCGAAATAAATCAAAACGTTACATTTGCCAGGTGATATCTACAAGCTTTTTAAAATTTGAAAAATGCAGGAAAATAAGATTATTAATTGTGAAGAAAGCTTTGGAGGAAACTCTCATTGCGAATAAACGTGAGAATCTTATGCTACTCTTGAAATAGAAATAATTTGATAAGAGAAGATTGATTTAGTTCAACGAGAGGAGGCAAAATTTATAACTTAGATTTTTGTATTAAACTCGTGATATATGTAAGAATTTTTACTCCTCTTAATCGATATATTTAAACATATGCGACACGAGTCAGCACTTTCGTAGAAAACTCCCAGTAAACGCTGGCCAGCGACCTACTACGCTTGAAAAGTCCTGAATCTGCTAAGTGCCTCCAGAATCTTCTACGCCTGGACACACTTAGGCAAACGCTACCTTAGTTGACTAGAGTGTCTTCGTGCATGTGTTTGAAGGTAGTTCGATGCAATCCTTGAATTAATCCAAGGAAATGCAAGGGAAGCTGGATACCTTGCGGTTCCAGCGATGAGAATAGGACCTCGTCATTTGAACAAGCAAAGTGTATATTTTTGCTAGGAAAGCTGTTTTCTTAATCCTTTCATGGTTTCAATGGTTGTTTGTTGATCGTTGAACTGCTTCAACGGGGAATTAAGTTTTTTCTGAATTTATTTCTGGTATCAGCTTTGAAAATCTTTTTCGTTAAATGTAGTAGGAATTAGGATACTTGCTGACCGTGAAATAAATCTAAGCAGGCATTGGAAAATTATTAAGACTCAAAAGATATGATTCAGTCTGGAATATTTTTACTGATTCGTAATATTAAATCATATAATAGTTTGTGTACGAGTATAATGGGCGTTTTAATATTTATGAACA